GTTTTGGGGTGTATGGGTTTGAGGCTGATTCTTGGGTTGGCGGGGTACAATCTCTACATATGGCTACGGCCAGAAACATAAGGCTTGGATCACACACCCAAACCCACACACGATCCATACCTCGATCCATGGGGTATGGATCAAAAGGTGGGTGTGTGATCCAAGCCCTTGGATCACACAACCACCACCACCACTACTACAACCACCTCTCCTGCCAGCACTCCTTCTGCTACTGCCACTGCACTTGCCACCTTCTGCTACTACTGCAACAGCTTTACTGCTGCTGCCACTGCTACTCACTACTATCACCAGTATTACCACCACCACAGCTTTAGCGAAAGCCAAAAATTAATTACCGGAAGCCACTAAGTGTGATCACAGCGGAGACTTGCACTCTCACACTGTCGAAGTGAAGAATTGGAAACCGACGCTTTTACCATTAGGCTATGCAACCCTTTGAGTGGAGAAGCCAACCCAAATACCCCATATTAAAGAAGGTGCTAGAACACAATATTAAGGCCAACAGAACTAGCGGCAGCCACTAGCCAGTATTCGGAGTGAGCCTCCAATCTAGAGCTGAAGCCACCACCCGTCAAATGTCTTGAGAGCCCACTGAGTCACCAATATGCGTGGCCAGCTGATGGCCTTTTTGGGCTTCTTGCATCGTCTGCTTGAGTTGGAGGAAGAATGTGCCCCAACACTCATTGCCGCCGCTCTGTGCCAAACCAATATGTGGACAGTGGCGCCCAAATTCACAGCGGCCAGAACTTCAAAACAGGCTTGCCACAAACAGGATGGCTTTGATCTGGGAAGCCACCACCTTCACAGTTCACAGTGAATTGGTGAGAAAGTGGTGGGGTGAAGTGCCACCATGCAGATGTGTTCATGTCGGGGGCTTGGATCAAGTGACTTGTCGGTTTGATCCATAGGGCTTGGATCAGCGCTCTGATCCATAGGGTTTGGATCACTCTCACTGCAGCGCGGAACGATCCATACCAGGGTTTCTGGCCACACCCATATATATTATATATATAGTTATATTAAGTAGTTATCTTAAGTATGTATATATATATATACATAATACAAATATGTCGTCAAAATCTCTTGATGTCACAATGCAAAGTTTGCAACGTTTGCAAACGTCTTGGATTCAAGATTCAAAGATTTGGGGGAAAGCGTCTTGAATATGAGCCTTGAACGCCTTGAACCACGTTGCTTTAGCTGATCCATTCAGGTTATCTATAGATTACACACATGGAAAACGGTGCTAGATGAGCAAGTGACCAACTGATCACATCGGTTGGAGACAGGTACACGCTGATGGATATGCTGGGCCCGCAGTGCATTTGATCTCGGAAGAGAGCCGATTTGTCTTTTACATGTTGGAATTATGGTTCTTCATGTTCCACATTGTAAGTATTGCAGTGTGCACTCTTAGGTAGTGCTCTTGATGTTCTTTGGCTGCTTGATCATAGGCGCGGCTGGTGAAAAACTGATGCTTTATTGCTGAACATTTGCCCGGAGGAACCAAGCGTAAATGTTGTATACATATATATATATACAATACAATCAGAACACCTCAAGCACTCCTTCTGTCGAATTTGCCAACCTGGTCTTCTAGTATATACATTTTCTGAATGGGCCTTGACCTGTACTGTACGTGTCTAGGCCAGGCAGGTTTACTTTCAATGTCATTTGCTTCAAACGAACACCGAGGTGCTTCGTTGATGCTTTTGCTGGATCGGTTTGCACCGGCTGTGCCCTACACCGTTGCCATGTGGCAGCCTCAACATGATCAGATCTGATTTTGGACCTGTTGACATGGCTCTTTGCGAGAGAAAGTCACGTGGCGAGGGCAGAAGACAAGAGGCAGTTTCGTCTGATGGCAAATCAGGCTGCAACGGCTCATGCAGTTGGATCTGCTTCCGTTCAGTGGATTGCTCAGGTTCTTGGTTGGTGTTGCCTTTGCATGCTGGCACTGGTCTCGCACCCCTACTTCCACCATCAGCTGGCATACATGGTTCAGATCTGTGGATACCTTAGAGCTGTGTACACTGTGCTTGCTGCACAGTTGCTGCGTGCCACTGAGTGTTTTAATCTTGTCATTTCTGCATTGCTTTGAGCTGGCTCTTTCTCGCGGATTTTTAAATTATGCTTGTTCTTGAGTGTGTTCTTATCCTCAACAGACTCTTTAGAATCATGTTCCACATTTGCCTCCAGGAGTAGACTTCCTAACCGGTCCTAGTACTAAACTCCCCCAAAGACGAAAAATGTTCTTTCTTTGCGCAGGTGGAGAAGTGGGAAAGTATCAATCCGCATTTGCTTTTCTACAGCTTTTTGCCTCCTTTGATTTTCAGCGAGGCTTGCGACTGGACCGGTCCATATACTGATGTTGTGTTCTTGTTTTGCCAAATGCAAGATCAATTTTCTGTACTGGTAGGACTTGGAAGCGAAAAAGGCTTAGCAGTTTTGACTTTACTTCGATGTGCGTCCTGAAAATGCGTCCAGGCCATGAAGCTCAACGTGCGCTTGGTACAGAAGTGTTTTGCACAGGTAGAAACAGGGCCATGTCGTCATGCCTCTAAGGTAAATTTGTTGAATTCTGTAGATACAAGCAATGACTCTGACGCAATATCAAGCCTCAGTCTCAAGCAGCTTCAAATTCCACTCAATGATGCTTTAAAAGTGCATAAATTATAGAGCCTGGCATGTTGGATTGCATGTCGTTCATTGTTGCTTTGAGTGGATTGAAATGCTTTGAGAGCAACTGGGCTGGCCTGGTCACAAGTTGCAAACCAGTAGGAGCCAGTCAAAATACCACCCTTGACTCTCAACATTGGCCCAACTCATTCAGGAATACAGGTTACTGGGCTATTAGCTTTTTGTGTTCCTGTTTCATCAACAAAGATGATAAAGGGCCAACTGCGCTGTGTGTCAATTTATAAAAGTGTTTAACGCAATCCCAATAAACTTTGGCTTATTCAATGAACCGGCTCACTCTACGGCTTCTCCTGGTTGATGCACAGGAAGCTTTTCAAGACCAAGCATCATAAATCGAGGTTTCTGCTGAGAAAGCGCAGTTTGCAGACTGACTTGTGTTTTGGAAACTGATGACATGCAAAGTGAATTCTTTGTCCTAGGTCCTAGGAGGCCTTCGGGCACTTTCGTGCGTCCACTTGACCATCTACTGTAAGATCTTTGCTGGAACATGAGCCAGACGTCAAGTAAGTCATCCTGTGTGTGTGTGTGTGAACTTTCTGACGCCAGCAAAAAGCTTGGAAGAAAGTGTCTATGTCCAAGGTCCTTCTCCCGAGCCTGTCCACCAACTGTTGAGAACGTTCCCCCTCCGCCAAACCCTTAACAAATCTATTTCCACGCCCAAAGTAGCCCCCGAACCTGCTCGGTCAGCCTGTCCGCCAACTGTCTCCAGTCCAAGTCCACGTCAACAGCCTCCTGAACCCCCTCCTCGGCCACACCCTTAACCAATCTATTTCACATGGTCCCCAGTCAGTGCCAATGTGAACCGTCATCAAGTCCTTCTCCCAAGACTGTCCACTGTCCCCTTACATACATGGCCCCGAAGCTTTTCGCTCAGTGCGAATCGTCGCTTTCTGACGTCAATGAAAGGTCTATGTCCTTATCCGAGCCTGTCCGCCGACCGCCTCAAGTCCAAGTCCACTTCAACCGCCTTCCACACTCTCAACCAATCTATTTCCACGCGAAAAATGGTCTCAGCTGTCCCCGCTCACTGCCAAAGTGGCTTTCTGACGCCGGCCAAAGTCGATTTCTATTTCGGCCCCTGACGGCACTCAATGCCTGCAGGCTTTTTGCCAGTTTACTGCCACCAAAGCAAACTTCCAAGCCCCCTCTCCCGAGCCTCACCCCACTTCGGCTGGGTTCGGCGGGATATGCAGCCGTAGCGATTGGTGGCCGACGAACCACACCACTACCGTTCTGTTCAGGAACCATGGCAAATTTGATTGCAGGTGTTCCTCCTTGCATGTCCTGGGGTCCTATTGGGCACTACATTGGTAGCTACTGTGGCGAGGCGGGCCAAGGGGAGAGAAAAGTGGGAAAAGTGTCATTGCTATGGCATGTTACCATCCTCCTAAAGCATATTGATTTTGGGGGTACTGTTTGTCTATTTTGTAGTGTTCTACCAGGTTCTTTCACTTCGTCATTCGATGGAAGGTTCCTGCTACCGTACGACTGGTCTTGGGCAGTCTCCTTGACCTTTGGTGCAGCGCATGCCTCAAAAAAAGGAAAGACCGAAGAAAGACACGGGGAAACACAAAAATTATGTCTACAGAAAGGAAAGTAAGGCCTCCTTTAAAGGGCCCTTGCCTTCCCTTCATCTCATTTTTCTTGTGTTCAATTTGTTTCCCGTGTGTACTTCCTCCTCGTTAGATTTCGCCCTTGGCAGATTTAGGAAAACTGTCGCGCTCTGACGAGATGCAGCAAACCTGAGGTATTGTCTGCCACCGATCCCGTCGCAGTTGTCGCGCTCTTCTCTACGCTTGGAGTGTCACCCAAGTTGACAATGCCTCTTGGATTGTACGCGTTCCACCTAGGAGGGGAGCCAAACCGGGCCTAACGAGAAATATACGAAGACTTTAGAGAAGGAAAATATTTGAACATATAACAGGCTCAATTGATGCAAATGTGAATATATGATAATATTTGCAAGTGATTTGCCACGGGAATGGGAAAGGCTATTCCTATGCTAGCAGCCAATGCAACGACTGGTTTCAACTTTCATTGCATCTCTAGTTTGTATAATTTTGTGTATATATATACATAATTTGATTGAATATACGCAATGCCGCAATACTTGTAATTATGCGTTTGCCTGTGTCACGCGGCTGCTTCTGGCTTAAAAGTATAAACATCTAGATCAAGGTCACAATTCAATTTACTCATCCACAGAAGCAGTTGAGTACATCAGTACATTCCCACAATTTGCGGGTTTGGTTCCAAAGGTGTAGAAATTCCATTTCGCCATGGACGGCAGCGACAGCATTCGCCGTTTGGAGGACTCACGCTGAGTTGGAAATGCGGCGGGACATAGGATTGCTAATACCGCTACTGCTCCTACTCCTACTACTACGACTACGACTACTACTGCTACTACTACTACTACTACGACGACGACGACGACGACCACGACCACTACCACTACCACTACCACTCCCACTACCACTACCACTACCACTACCACTACCACTACCACTACCACGACGACGACTACGACTACGACTATTGATACTACTGATACTACTACTACTACTACTACTACTACTACTACTACTACTACTACTA